TATTATTTATTTATATATATATAAATAAATAATACAATACTAAAGCTACACCAGTGTAAGCGGGAGTCACATAAACATATATTCAGTGCACAGTTCAATTCTAGACTGAAATGATTAAAGTCTAGAATTTGAGACATACATTTTTCAAGTCTATAAAAAGAAGATTGCATATATTACTGGATAGTCTAAGAATGTATATGAAATCAGGTTTCAACTATACAGGAAAGAGTTGTGTAAACAAGCCAACTTGGACCCTACCAATTACCGATAAAACAGGGAGAATGGGATGGTTTGAAATGCAAGGATCACATATGAACTTTCTCCCTGTTACAGTTTTCCATTCCAAGCTATTATTATTATTATTTCTCCTTCATGAGATTTATATAAGCAAAATGGAGGCATCAAAAAGACTGTAAAATTATATTTTCAATGGAGAAATGTAGGAAAGGAACAGGGTTTTACTTCCACTCCAATCTGCCAACCGTATCTACTGTGACCCTGTGCTTATAAATGTCCATAGGACTGAATCCATTAGCTTGATCCAGCTTTAAAAAAATCCTCTGTGGTTGGGATTTATAGGTTAATGTTAACTGGATTGTGGCAGGTAAAAGCAGGTAAAAACTAGTAAGGGCAAAACTCTTGTTTTTTTCAGTCATGGTCTCATCAAAGAAAATATTTATCTCTAGGAAATTTTTTGTAAGAGCCAAACCAGATGTTGTAAACAAAAGTCTTCCAACTGTTTTATGAAAAGCAAGCACAGGTCCCTGCAAATATAAGCAAAGGAGCAATAACTGCTTAACCCTCTCCTTCCAATTGCCAATTGTTTTGTTAAAATGCCCACCCATTCATTTTTCCATCCCTAGAAAAAAGGCACGTGATTGCATGATTTCCCTAGGCAAACAGAAAAATGACTCATATGTAGTTAGGAAATTAAATACATGAAAAGGGTTAAGCAGCTATTTGGCTGCCAATGGTTATACTTATCCTCCAAGGTTGTTTTAAATCTTCAAAAACATGATATGTATGATCATCATGGATTCTTAACCTACGATGACTTTTGAGCCATGCAAAATATAACATAAAACTGAACGAGGGGTGTAATTTTATACATACTTTCTAGGAGGTAAGACCCAGAGAACACATCTGGACTTCTCAGTAGATATTTGTTTATTTATTTAGCTTATTCTTCCATTAAAAGGAATCCTGAAATAGCCTACAGCATTACAAAATAAATCAACCTAAGAACCACAGTAAAACATTATAAAACATACTGGTTATTTATAAACTCATACTGAGTTTTAAAATACCCTGATTTGGGCTAAACGTAACACTTACAGATAGATACATATTATAAAGTATATATAAATTATATAGTACTGTACTAATATACTCTTATTTATTTGGATTTGTTATGCCACTCACNATTATTATTATTATTATTATTATTATTTTATTTATTTCTCAGATGTTCAAGGGAAATTTCTAAACAATACTGACTTTTAAACATCATCTTCATTTTCTGTTTCATTAGTAGCATAAACATGTAAGCCCAAATTCATAACTTAATTTACATAGTTGCAGCAGCCCTGCGGTTCTCACTCCAATATGCAAAAAAAGACCCAAAAATATTAAAGGAGCTTTTTTTTCTGCCTCCTTGCTGATATCGTCAAATATATATTTTCTAAAAAATTTAAAATACATGTATCTCAAATAATTAGCCAATAAGAAATCCCAATGGTCTGTGGGAAGTTAGCTGAAGAAGACAGAGTTTAAGTAAAACTCATTCTTGATGAGTGGTTTAATTGGGGAATGTTTTTCCTGATGCCTGGTGATATGTTGGAAAAGAGGCAGAACAAAGCCAAAGAGGAAATACAAGGGGTTAGAGTTTTTGGCAAATAAAAATTGAGTGGATTTTGTGGGGACCACATACCTGCAGGAGCACATTTTGTAATATTATTAGCGATGTCAACTTCCAATGGGGCCTTATGATTGAGTGATGCTCTCTAATGGTGTGGAGAAACACCATAGCTGGAAAATGCTGGCTAGAAAGGCAGATTCTCCTAGGCGCTCCTTGGAGTATCCAAGCATGGGTTAACTTCAGCTTGCTTGCCCAAGGACTTAGTTCAAAGTTTGTGTAGCCAAACCTCCTGCTCTCCTCAGAGGCTCAGTTTAAAAAACCCAGGCGCCCTAAAAGGACGTGTTTGGGGAGTTCCAGGCCTTGAGCATCAGGTTGGACTCTCAAAGTCAGTGTAGTGTAGCCTTTATTATTTTTGTGCATAGTTAGGTAGATTCCCTTAGCTCCTTTGTTGTATTTTTCCAATCTGTCAAAGTGTGGATTCTCTCCCTTTGCCTTCTGACGCGCGAAACAGGCTGCCTGGAGCGTGGCTGGCTTTCGCGCTGCCGTGATTACAGCAACACCATGGGAGGCTTGCTAGCAGCTGCTGGCGAGCTTTGGGGACAGGAAGACAGTCAAGGACCCCCAAAAAGCTGTTGGAGGACTTGTAGATAGCTGGAAGCTCTCCTGAGCCTTTGGAATAGTCGACAGTTTCCCTGGTGCCGCTCCAGGCGTGTGGTGGCCATTTTGGGGAAGAAAAAATTGGCGCACTTTATTTCTGAGCCGTTTCTTGGGGGAGGACAATGTGACCGCAGACTAGCTGAGCAGGACTACCATCAACAACTCAGAATGGCGGCTCTATCCAGCACTGTTCCGTCAGCTGTCACAGAGGTTCAGCCTTCTGAGGGTCAACCTATTCACCATCCCGGCCAACACGCATCTTCCCCAGTTCTTCGCCAGGTTTCAGTGTCCCAACGCGGAAGGGACAGACACACTACAATGTCACTGGCCTCCCAGTCTCCTGTATGCATTTCCGCCTCTTCCCTTGATACCCCTGGTGATCAGGAAAATTTTGTCTGAGGGAGCAGAGGTTTTGCTCATAGCACCATATTGGCGGAGGAGGTCCTGATATTCACTGACCTCATCAGCCTGTCGGTGACCAAGCACTGGCGCATACCTCAGGAGCAGATCTCTCTTGGCCAAGGGACCATTCAACATCCAAACCCCCAGTGGCTGCAACTAGCCATTTGGCACTTGAGGGGGACCTCCTGAGGCTAAGCNGTATTATGGGCGTTCCCTTAACTCTTGTGCACCGTTTTCTATAAGTATCCTATAAGTAGATCATCTTATCAGCCAACCTAAAGTTCCATACTTAGCTCAGATCCATCCTGCTGCCAGTGGAATGCACCATAAATGTTGTCGTTTAAAACACACACACACACACACCATTTTAAAAATCCTGGTCCGAGGTGCTTCCAAAGTTTTCTTCCAATGCTTTTGTTCTTGAACTTCTTTCATTAAATCTTGCCACCAGATGTTATAGCAATAGCAATAGCAGTTAGACTTATATACCGCTTCATAGGGCTTTCAGCCCTCTCTAAGTGGTTTACAAAGTGAGCAAATTGCCCCCAACAATCCGGGTCCTCATTTTACCCACCTCGGAAGGATGGAAGGCTAAGTCAACCTTGAGCCGGTGAGATTTGAACAGCCGAACTGCAGTCAGCTGAAGTAGCCTGCAGTGCTGCACCGTAACCACTGCACCATGTCGGCTCCTGTAATATTATGAATATTATGAATCCCCCCATGAATATTATGTAATATTCATGGGGAGGATTAACACCTGCACTAGTGGCATGTACAGATGTATAGTTGATCTTAAGCCCTGTGCAAATGGGACCAAAAATGCAGTTTTAAAAAAAAAAGACCTTTATGTTTGCGAATTAACATAGTTGGCCTACTGGCGAAGGAATTGAACAACGTTTTGACTCTGTTAGATGCAATTATGGTTACCTAGGATGCCAATAAGCACAGCCTCAAAGAATGTGACCTTTTCTCACATTAGCCTACCAAATTTGCTCACCGTCTGAATCTTATTTGTTTCTATGACCTACCCACTTTGTACTTCAGTTTGCAAATACTCATAGGAAAAATAGTTATAAGGCAACCTAAAAATATTTCTATTAGTTTATCAAAATGTTATTTTTCCAGAATATTTACATTGGTTGGCGAACATGGCCTATGCTTTTCTGAAAAGAACTGCTGTAGGTCATAATTTGAGATACGCACTTCCAATGGAATCAGTATATTCTCTCCTTCCCGGAAAGTTTCGAATTTCTGGGACGCAGAAAAGCATTCTCTTTGTCCTCAGGATACCTTCCTATGCTGCAGCTAATACATCTGTAGTATTGCTGGAATACAACCAGCCTGCTACTTAGCTTAAGGAAAAGTGAGGACACTTACTGACATTCAAGACTGCCTTTTCAAATGCTAAGTGAAGATAACAGCGTTGCAAATTTGTGCTCAGAAAAATAAGTTAGAATCCTTAGNTTGCTTTAACTACCCAGCGCATCTTCAGCTGCGTTGCGCTCCAATATCCCCACCACCACAATATTTATGGATGTTGAAGCCCAACGCATTTCGAGACCCGACGAAGGCGCGAGGAATCCGCAGGGGAAAGCTGAACGATGCGCGCCCGCCTCCCTCGCCCCGCCGGCCTTCCGGAGCGAAGCTCTCACCCTGACCGCAGGCGCCCCTCTGGATGGCGATGACGGGCGGCCGCTGCTGGCTTTCCGAGCGCTGGCTAGCGGTCCGCAGCTGGCACAGGTTGCCGTAGCTCCTTCCATCGCTGCCACACACCGGCTCGTTCCCGGCACACACGCAGTGGCCGCCTTTGGCTCGCCTGCGCACCGTAGCCGAAGCCGCCACTCCGGGGGCCCCGGCCGACAGCACACACAACAGCCCTTCGGCACACGACGGCTCTCCGAACGGGGAGCCTCCGCAGGGCTCGCCCTCTTGCGCGGCGCACACGGGGCAGCAGCCGCAGGAATCGAGGGTCTGCCCGCTTCCCGCGCACTCGGCGGGCACCTCCGGGCACCGCGCGCGGTCGCAGCGCTCGGGGCAAATCCGCCCGAAGGCTTGAGCCCAGCCGCCCGGGAGCAGGAGCAAGAAGAGGCTGGGCGCCAAAGGCCACAGAAGGGCTTTCATCTTTTTCTTCCCAAGAAGGCGCGGAAAGTCCAGCGAGGGAAACACGCGCAACGGGTCGGGCCCGAAGTCGGGGAGGGAAGGAGGGTTCCCGGCGCGGGGAGAGCCGGGAATTGGAAACCTCGCCTGGCTAAAACGCGGAGGACAACTGAGGAGGGAAGCGCTGCTTTAAATGGAGCCGGAGCCGGCGCCGGCGGAGAAGTTGGACGAGCGCATGGTTTTTGAGGAGCCGCCTGGGAGGAGACTTGGCGCCGTTCTGCAAAGCCGGAGAAGGGAAGGAAATCTGCTGGACGCGCCAATTGGGGAATGCAAACTGCAGCAAGCTCGCGGAACTCCCCTCCCTCCCTTTTCAGCCTTTTTTAAAAGTATTTTTTTTATTAATATTGAAAGGCCCGGTTCTGTCATTTATATCAGGTGAACATACTTGCCATAAGAGGCTTTTAAAATACATTTTTTGTAATTGTTTATACCTAGCGGAGCAGGCGGTATTATGGGCGTTCCCTTAACTCTCTTGTGCACCTATAAGTATCCTATAAGTCAGTGTTTTTCAACCTTTTTTGTGCAAAGGCACACTTTTTTCATG